TATACAATACAGAATTAATAGATAATTACACATATATATATATATATTAATTAACAAAAAAATATATATATTACTTTTATCTGTCCATAAAAAACTGTTTCCAGATTGTGTCCCCGCCCTTCCTTTCCGAGTTCTTGTTTACGTCGCTGTTCTTAAGCACACGTGTTGTGTGCCACGCGTGCGCTAAAAAGGCCCGCGTATTAAAGTATTTGTTTTGAAATACAGCCAGCCGCTGCCTTGCGCAGGAGTTGTTTGGTTGTTTTTTGGTGCGCGTTTCTACTGATCACGGCGGTTGCTGTGACTCACCTGAAAAAGTTTCACCGTTTGGTTGCCATGGTTGGTTCGCTCCGACCGTTTCAAGAGAAACAACGGCCTTGCGGAATTCGAACGCTGGTGAGACAGCATAAACCTAAAACCTGGCTCTGGGTTTCAACCAGGAAAGGAAGCAACTGACACACAACCTTCCACCTAAAAATGTATATTACCAACACCTGGGAGGTGAACAGTAAGCAACCCAGAAACCAGTCAGCATTTAGAACCGCTAATCGACATTCTTGTCATCCGTCGGAGTTTCCGACTCATCACCTTCACCTTCTTCATTCACCTCATCACCCTTGCCATCGGCCACTGGCCCATCACCAGCAGAAGAAGCAGCTGCCGATTTAGCAGATGCCTCCTGCGCTGCTGCCAACATGGATTCCTAAGATGGAACCCAAACGCATCAAGCGAGGAAAACATCAGAAGTCTTTGACAGGAACATATGAAGTTGGATTGGCCCAAAGGAAAGCGTCATAATTAAGGAGTTCAATCTAAATGGAAAATGCACCGATTGTCAATCCCAGATGCAATCAAACCTTCCACAGTGCTGGTTGTCATACCTTTCTCGAGTTCCATACAAGCCGCTTCCTGGGTTGAACTCAAAACTATTGGCGTACTAGAATTTTGTTGACGCAAACAAAATGATTGCAGCAAAATTTCTGCAATTTCTTCAATTTTCTCGGGGGCGACTCCTGTCCGAGGCTTCACCTGCAGGGTGTGTGGTGTGGTTCATTCAGTTCATTTCGGCTAGTGTCTAAATTATATATAATTGTTTATTTATATATTGTAGCCTATAAGAACGCGTTGAACTGGACGACACCCGCCCACCCTGAGGATCTCAGATCCCCGCACTTTTAAGCCCCAAATGCCGCAACGGTTCTCAGGCTTAGTGTACATGTACTTGTAGGCGCGAACGGGTTCTGATGCTGCTGCGGGTCTCTTCATGGCGGTGTTCTTTCCCGCTGGCTTCTGCTTAAGGTCTGGCTCTGCAATCTCATTTGCAGCAGGGTCTTCATGATCAGGCTGATCATGCTCGGTTTTTTCTGCCTTGGCTTTACCTTTTGGTTTTGCCTTACTCTTGGGCTTGCCAGGCTGGTCATCCTTCCCAGGCTGGTCATCCTTCTTGTTCCCATCCTTCTTCTTTTCTGCCTTCCGCTTTGGTTCAGAACCTACTTCTTTCCGTTTGTTCTCACCCGTGCTGGTGCCATGGTTGGCTGGCGCTGAACTTGGAGGGTTCTCATTCCCTGTGGCTGGCGCGGCATTTGGAGCTACGCCCTTCTGCTCAGGTTCGTCGTCCGAAAGTTGTTGTACGCTATCCAAGACCATGGTCCAGGCTTCAACGGACTATGCAAACATTACGTGACACAAGAACCAGGATGTCCCTGGGCCAAATATTATAGAAGTCTTGCTCGAGGTTGCGCACACGAGGCTGAGACACACACTCACTCGCAACAGGCGCTACGCGCAAAACACGAAATCACAACGTTTTGCGCAGGTTCTCCCGCAAGCATTCCCTATAGCGCAGCGCATACGGCCGCCGTCCCAACCAGACTCTAAGGGCATCACAGGCACAAACATATTCAAACGACAACAACATTTCAATCGTGTCATACGTTCTGTAAAGAAATGGAATCGGCACTAAGTAACTAGCTTGTTACTTTCTGGTTCCACCCCTGCTGAATTGCAGACTGAGTCTAGGCAGTTGAAATTTTCACCGCATGCTGCGATGAAATGGAAAGATTTCCAAGTAGCCAAAATTTGGGTTTCAGTGCCACCAACTTTGCTGGCACGGAGGTCTCGATTTTCACCTCATCTCCCAACACAACTCAACATTTTACAGCTCACGTTCAAAAGACCAAATGCAAAAAAAATGTCTGGAGGTGGAGACGTTGGAGAATGAATGCAAACAAAAAACGTGTCGAATTACATGAGAGCAACCTCCCATGGAATTCGCCCCATGCTGCTGCATGGCACTTTTGTTAGCTGGTTGCGGAAACAGGCTCCCATCCACGTGGAGCGAATCGCCATCATCTCGGTGTTGGTGGGGAGGGCGTTCGGAGTCAGCGCAGAGACTTTCGTTTTGGGAGCGACGTCAAAGCGGAAGTTAATTGGCTCTCCTGTAGTCGCCTGGTGAAGCTGATTGAATGAAAACTCACGCTCTCATGAGCACACGCACCCTTTAAAACCTGCACCGCACACCATAGCCTCAGTTTTCTGAGACATGTTGTGCTCGACCAGATTCAATGAGGTGATGCCATGCTTCTGGGCTGCGACAAACGCAACTTCTGCAACACTCATGGGCTTCTTGCCACCATCCGTTTCCACTAGGACAACCGTTTGGTTATCCCGCTCGATAATCCATGGCCAGGCTTTGGCAGACTCTGTTTTTGCGATGCCTGTCAGGCATTGAACCGACACCAACAAAACTAACCAGCAAAAAATATGATGATAACAAACGCAACCCACCAGATAACGCAGCCGACTACCGGCCTAGCGGGCTTTCTGAATAGGTCCCAAGCTCGAAGCCAAAGAGCTCGCCACCGCCCACCTGAATATCATTTGCAGAACCATTTTCAAGATACACCTCCAAAT